AAAAAAAATGGCTTGTTTTTCTCCCTGCAGAGAGCATGCCATGAATATTAAGTATCAGTTACTACTAGATACAAGACAACATAAGATATTTCACTTGGCAGATGACAACAAAGAGGTTTAATTTCCCCCAAAAGATCCTCTTTGTGCACACCAAGCAAACCTTTGGAGAGAAGCTCTAGTCTCAAGGATTTATCTTTGACAGTGCTTTAACCACTAAAGTTGTTAATGTTCGTAATCTAGCTGGAACTTGGAACTTGCAACCATGCACTTCAAATGGATTAGCACATTTCGACAGACTGGTGCAGAGAGCAGGCTTTTGTTATTTGCCCTAATAAAACCAATTTTTGATATACATCACCTAATTCTGAGTATAATACTTTTTCAAAATCTATGTGGGTGTAGATACACACGCATGGCATTGTTTACTACAATTCATCAAATGGTTACTAATCAGTATCAAGTGATAAAAGTTAGTTTTCCAAAAAATAAAAAAGAAGAAGAAGAAACAAAGTTTCAAACAGTTTTATGTAGCACTTTGACCTTCAGATCAATCTAGTGACCTTGAAGGAGAGGTCAGAGGTCAAATGTGACTTTAAATCTTTATATGGTACTTTCTATATGCTGACGATACACAGTTCACTTGTAAGAATCAAAATTTTTAAGTTATAAGACCTGCTGTCAATTTTTAACCAGTAAATCGTTCAGTTGACCTTGAAGACCTTGGTGGATGTAAGCCAAATGTTAATGCGTCCCTAACATGACCCCACTCTGCACCCCTACAAAGTTTTATCAGAATTCATTTAAAACTTCTTGAGCTATTGTGCTTACAGACATATTGTTGACCTTTAATTCTGAAATGTTAATGTCTTTAACTTGTTTGCATCTCCTCTTCTTTCATGTGACAGGTGAAAGCCAAATCTCAGTAAAATCGCAACACTGGTGCAAGTGCTATGATGAACCTGACAGAAGTTCATGGCGGGAGCCTTTTTAATGAAGCAAATGCATCTGACAATGTCACCCTGGCCACCCTGAACATACAGGGACCAATAAACAAGACCGTCAATATACTGACTGTCCTCAACCTTTTTATCACCATGCTATCCCTGGGCTGCACGATGGAGATTTTCAAAATTAAGGCCTATCTCTTCAAGCCAAAAGGAGTAGCCATTGCCCTGCTGTCCCAGTTCTGCATCATGCCCATTACCGCTTTCAGTCTTGCCAAAATCCTGCAGATGGAGCCCATAAAGGCAGTGACCGTGCTTATCTGTGGGTGCTGTCCCGGGGGAACCTTATCAAACATTTTTTCTCTTGTTGTGAAAGGCGACATGAACCTCAGGTAAGCTGATGCTCCTGTTTGCAGTAATTGCACTGCTTTTAAAGTAAATAATGCAGTGAGATACTTTGCACATCAGTGCAATGATTTTCCTTCTTCACTTTATTGCCCTCCCAGCATTGTGATGACCACTTGCTCCAACATTGCAGCCCTGGGTCTGATGCCTTTGCTGCTGTATATCTTCTCTCAAGGCTTCACTGGATTGGAAAATGCCGTGCCGTACGCCGGCATCCTCACCGCTCTTGCTTTCACCCTGGTGCCTTGTGCTTTTGGCATCGCCATTAATCACTTCAAACCGCAGTGACGGTCAAAAAAGTGAGACTCCCACACTCAGACACATGCCATCGCATGACTAGATTTAAGCAGGTTTCACAGCAGATGTTCAGATTTATAAGAGCAGTTGTTCTTATAAATTGCTAAAAATCGTTTCCGGTTTCAGGACTTTGAAAATGACCCAGCCAAAAAAAAAAAGTCAGTTTATTATTTTCACCTGTGGTTTTTACACTGTGGCATGAAATATCTTCAAGTTGTGTTTACCAGAACTGATTTATTGCACGCAGTTTGGGTAATTTGCGGCTTACGTTACCAGCAGAGTTTGTAAAACAAGAAGGCTTTAGTGTTTCACTCCTAATCAAAACCAGTTCTTGACTACTGTAATCTGTTTTCTCTTTTTCAACAGGTTGGTCTCAGTATTTTGATCATCTCCAGCATCATTATTTGCATCCTGTCCTTCTATATTGTCAGAAATGTAATATGGATGATCCTCATGCCCGATGCTATTATTGCAGCTTCACTGATGCCCCTGATTGGCTTTACACTGGGATATGTCATGTCTGTCTTATGCAGACTCAGTCCACAGTAAGTGAATACACACTAAGTGTTCTCCTTGACTCTAAAACAAGCAGGTTGTGCCTAAACTTTATGCTTCATGTTAAATCTAAACAGAGGCTCTCTGCAGTATATTCTGTTTCTCATACTGCACTGCTCTTGAACAATAGTCAGTGTTCTTGCACTGTTTATGCAAGAGGAAATAAGGCAGTTGATGTGTAAACTCTTACTGGAACTACTGCTGCGATGCAGTTTCAAAGAAAGCAGAACGTTTTTTTAAATATTGTCTTTCATGAATTGCCACTGTAAGCAGGTTTTATTTTTGCAATTCAAAATAATATTTTTGGTGGGGAAATGGCACCACAAGTGTACGCCTGCTACTAAACTGAAAGGTTCTCATGATGTTTCGTCCTGCTTGATAGCAGCCAGCAAAAGATGGATACACAGTGGCCATAAATGGATGGACATGGCCAGCACCAATGCTTAGGAAGGCTGTGGCATTTAAATGATGCTCAGTTGACACCATGAGGCCCAAAGAGTGCCAAGAAAATGTCCCTCACACCATTACACCATCACGAGCAGTCTGAAACATTGATACAAGGCAGGATGGAATTGTGATACTGCCATCCCACTGCCACAGCAGAAGTCAAGACTTATCAGACCAGGTGTCGCTTTACCAATCTTATATTGTTCAGTTCATGCACCTGTGCAAAATGTAGTCTCAGTGTCCTGTTCGTAGCAGGCTGGAGAAGCATCCGTTGTAGTTTTTTGTTGCTGTAGCCCATCTGCTTCAAGCTTCAATGTGTCGTGGGGCCGGAGGGTCACTGTTGTCTTCCTATCAGCTTGGAGCATCAACGAAGGCATTTTTTACTGCCTGGATATTTTCTCTGTTAGACCATTCTCTGTAAACCCTGCAGATGGCTGTATTGAAACCAGTAGATCAGCAGTTTTAGAAATACTCAGACCAGCCTAACTGGCACCAGCAACCACACCACATTTAATGCTCAGCTTGATCTTCAGCAGGTTCTTATGACCATGTCGACATTCAATGTCATTTGCATTGAACATGCGTACCTAATAATATGGCCTCCATGTATTAATAAAAGTATGTTATGTTTCTATTCTACACACGCACACACACGCACACACACATTACAATACATTTCCCAGATACACTACCTAATTTAACCATCCCCTTCTGTGAAAATAGTGCTGCTATGTGTCTTGAGCTTGTTTTAGAACTTAGATTTTATGCTATTTATTTATCCATAACTATTGTTGCAATTCATTGCTGCCTTTTTAAACCGTGTTGCTTATTGCACTGTAGAGGCTGGTGAGACAGTATTTCGTTTCAGGCTGGGTAACACCATACGAAATGACAATAAACTTGTTGAGTCTTCTTGAGTCTATTCAAAAGAAAAATGTGTATAGATGCAAAAAATGACTGTTTAGGAAATATTTAATTATATTGTTAGAAATCTTTAACTAACCAACAGCACATAGATAAATTAACATTAGCTTCACCTCATCTAAACATATCAATAAAAAACTAACCAATTTCTGCCCAGATTTGTGTTCACTCACATAAATAATTAACATATAAACAATTTACATATGAATGAGATGTTCAGTAGAACATATATTTTACAGCAGAGGAGGATTCAGCTCTCAAATTTAAAATATGTAGTCTCAAAAGTTAATAAAGAAAACTGCTTCACCTATTTTTAGATGCAGCAGGACCATCTCCATGGAGACTGGATGTCAAAACATCCAGCTGTGCGTTACAATCCTAAAGGTGGCCTTTCCTCTTGAGGTTATTGGGGCCATGTTTCTCTTCCCTCTGTTATACATCACATTCCAGTGCGCTGAGGTCTTTCTCTTCGCTCTGGGCTTCAGATGTTATCAAAGAGTCAAGCCACCAGCTGAGGGTAAGTGTGACAGCTGCCTGCATGTTTTTCTGCAGCAAAGCTCCAAGGGGTCAGAGCAGATGCACTCACTCCACACTGTGATGTTCTGATCTGTTGAAAATGAGGTCAAACTAAATATTGTGTTACCCCTTTAATACACAGATACAGAAAAAGAGGAAGACCAGGTTGTTGATCCTCAAGACAAAGAGGCGAAGCGACCATGAGAGCATCACTGATGGTATTCCAGCGCTGGCGAAGGGTACAAGGAACAGATTCGTACATCAGAGAATAAAGCCACCCAGTGCCCTTACTTTATAAATGTCATCTGCCCGTTCAAAGATCAGGGCTGCGACACTGAAGGACTCTGTGTGTGTGTGTGGTGGTGGTGGGGGGGTCTCTTCATTATTATATCTCTCTCTCTCTCTCTCTCTCTCAGATGCGACAATGAAAAAACTGTCCAACAGCCAACTGTAACACCTTAAATTATATTTAATTAAAATGACTGTGGGATATATACAGAGGAAACTTAAATCTTTTGGTTTTTACATATATTAAAATACCATTTTCACAAAAAAATAAAATCCATTCATCAATCCCAAGGTAAACTCAATGGACCATCAAACAAAGTGAACACTTAACATTACACAATCTGTACACTTATTTTTTTGTGTTGATCTTCCCAACCACATTTACAGTGTCACATATAACGTGCCTGCAGTAGATTTCAAAGTGAAGCTGCAAAGTGAAAAGACCTACTTTTTAAGGTTTCCATGAGCCGCAGAGGAAAAAAAACAACAAAAAAGCAAAAGAAGCCATGGCTGATCAACAGCATTTTGGGCACAAATAAATTAAATACACCTTTTAACTTCCCATTTAGAACAAAAACAGGAATTCCCAAGCAGCCTGAATAAATTAATAACAAAATATTTACCTGTGTACAAGTAATGTGTCTGGCAAAGCCACATATAATGTCACTAAGCAGTGGAGGCATTTTACTGACATTCATTTTTAAAATTTCACAAATTATAGATACCTGTGCATAGAAGTGGAAAGCTAAGGCATTGGGGGGAGGGGTATGAGTATTAAGAGGAGAATATATTTGGAGGAATGAAGTATGTTGAATGTACACCCTGAATTCAGCAGTGTGAACTCTTGGGGAAGGAGGGGGGACAAAGAATTTTATAATATACAGTGAGACTCGAAAAATGTAAGTTATGATTAATCAGAAAATCTTTCAAGATGATGCTGTGAGCTTACATAACATGGACAGCAATTTATTTGACTAGCCTTTGTGTATCATTGCAACCATGTTTCATGACTGGTGTGACGAGTGGTTAAAGAAAAGAAAAGCAAATAAGACAAATGACTTTATAGCTCCTAAGATGAGTTTGCGGCTTTGCCCAGTCAACTGAAACACAATAGACAATTTACCCCAACAGAACTGAATATAAACTCCCTCAGAAGTGCCTGCTCCTTTCTGCTTTGTTCAACATTTTCAAACTGAGTTTTAGATATTAGACATACATACATAGTGTGTGAAATGTCATGAAACTGTAAGCATGTATGTACATGTGAATCCTTTCTGTCTTCTCCTTTGCAATGGCCAGATGAACTCTTCTGACTGACCCACAGCTTCCCTCGGGGCCTCTGTAGTTGAGTTTATCTATGTTGACAGCTGTGGTGAGAAACTCCTGCTCATCATTACAGGTTAGTCGCAAAGCTGGTTGTTTTGGGTAAGTCCAAAGGCTGCAGCATGTTTCAAGCCTCCTTCAGCAATGGAATATCTGTGAAGGAAAGACAAAAGTTTGATTATTACAAAATTTAAGAAGTGTTTTAAATAAATACAAAGACATCTAAATAAATTTAGCTTCACCATCAGAGTAATCCATCTCAGAGTCCAGAGACAGGCTATGGTGGTCGCTTCCTCCAGACGGCCTTCTTTGTGATGAAGAGGTGCCTGCTGCAGCACCTGCGTGCTCCAAAGCCCAGGTAGAGGAAGAAGGAGATGAAGAGGATGAAGACGGTGGGACGGGATGGACCACAGCCATCTCAGACTGCTGCTGCTGCTGCTTGAGGGAAGAAGGCCTAGAGGGGCCAGCCTCTGGCGCTGTAGCATGCTGACCCTCCGACAGCACTATCTGAACTCGAGATTCTGAACTGAGAGCAGAAGCTCCACTGCTGCTCACGGCTTCCTCATATGAAGGTAGAGTCACCTGTACTCCCTCCACCATGATTGACACAGGCTGTCCTGACACACCCTGATCGCGTCTAGGTGTAGAGGACAAGAACACAGTCACATTTTTATCTAGTCTCCATACTCTGCACCCTTTGTTCGTGGTCAAATTCAGGGGAATCTTTGGGCAGACTTACCGATGGAGAGACTTAAGTTTTGGCTGAAGAAGCACAAACAGCACAACCAGAAGCAGGATAAAAGCCACCGAACAAGCTGTGGATGCCACTATGGATAAAGTTGGCATCCCCAGTGGCAAAGTCGGACTGTGGTCTGTGGGACAGACAAGCGGTTATATGGTTATCTGTGCAGATTTTTGTAATTATTAGCTGAAATCCATTTTCTTATCGTCACCTT